TACACGCGTGCCGGTGTCTTGACACTAAGTGTGCTGATTGCGACTGTTTCGCACTCATGGCCCAGAGAACCAGAGTTGGACTTTCTGTGAGGCATACATCTTCACGCATGCGCACAACCCCACACACTGATGCCTTGCCTTCGTTGTCCTGCGCACCTGAGCAGTGTTGGACACCCGAGCCCTACTTGCAAGCAAATAACATGCAGGTTTTAACACTGCATGGCATAGCATAACGGCTGGTCCATGCAGATTCGTTTCAGATGTTTGCTCAATCCAACCAAAACAAGATGCTGGGCTTGTGCGGCCGTGGTCTTTGAATATTCGGTTTTTGAAAGTTGCAACCGATCGCCACACAGCTGTTTGGTCAAGATTCGAACAAAGCCACTTCAAACTCAGCATGTTTTGTGCAACCGCTGCTTTTTCTGGGCATTCCTTGCTCCTCAAGCTTTCTGACGTCAAAAAGGTATTCCTTCCTTGGGCTGGTCAGGGTAAAGCACCCAACCGGATGTTGTCCGTTCGGTGAAACCCTTACCACGTCTCCGTGAGGGTAGCACAGGCCATAGGCCTTCCATGGAATACGACTGCGTTAGTTTTCTGAAGGTATCCATTTGCGGGTAACGGGAAATCAAAAGGACAAGCCAAAATGCATTTGTGGGTTCAAATCCCTTTGGAAGAGTAGTCTTTGCAAAGTAACTTGGATATGGAATAGCAGGAATCCTGGCTTGGAAACCCCTACATGGGAAACCCCTCCTCCACCAAGCCAAACACCAAATTGGAAAGAAGCTGAGTGGCATAGAAATGGGTGTCTCTTTAGGGTCCCCCAGATTAATGGGAAGCGAAAGGGAGCTATTTGCGCATCTGAAATTGGGAAGCGGCCTGCATCCCATTCCATCCGGAGGTACAGACAGGCGAAGCCAAAGCGGTGGTTAGCGTGGAGGCGGAAAGGGTCCGTATGTGTCCCTTTCCGATGGTTTGAACATCACCTTGTGATGCTTAAAGTATTGGGAAGCCTGAAACATGGCTTGCATAGAGTTCTTTTAGAAGACTAGTTTCCTTCAACGGGGTTCTGTGCGCATGTTGCATTCAGCTTGTTTGCTGGAGCCCGATGGCTGTCGTCTTTTTGGTTTCCTACGCAAAATCCACATAAATTGGAAGACGCCCCAGTAGGTTTCTTGCAATAAATGGTTCAACGATTCGCGAGGCAATCGCCAGGAGCATTGGCAAACTTGAACATCAAGAGCCTGCGCCTGAGAAAGAGGAAACCTGCCGCCCAACGCAGCTCCCGGCTAGAAGGGTACCGAGAATCTTGATGGGGAACTGGGTCTAATGCCTCGCCTTCAGGCATGTGGTGTCCAGTTTGAGATGCTTGTCAGATGGTTTGTGCCCAGGGGTGATCACCCAAATGATGCGATGCATGCATCAATTGAGCACCAGGCAAGACTTCAACTGGTAGAAGATCCCAGAGCTCGGGATCTGCCTTATGAATTTGCGGAGGATCAGTCGCTCTCTAAATATGTGTGTTTTGCCTTTGCTCGATTCGGCCAACTTTTCATTTGACCAAGATAGCGTGAGGGAGAGGCAGGGAGACACTTGTCTAACATGTTTCAACATGAGGAAACCCTTCCCGAGCCTTCGTGCGTGGGAGTTGGGGCAGGACCAACTTGTACCATCCAAATTTCAGCAGCTTGTCGCATCCCCCCCGGTCTGAACCGGCTTTGAGACCAAGGAATCCCACGCCAAAGTCCAACTCACGGATGCCGATGTCTCAGGCTGGCCATGCAACCTGGCGAGTTTGCTGCCACCAGGACCATTGAGCGCGGGGCCTCGGCTTCTCATACGGAAGATTCGCCGGGGATGCATGGCCAAGCGCTGGAAGTGGCGCTCTATTGAAATAGCCAATGCCCGTTGTGCTTTGTAAATTCAAGGCGGGGAGTCGCTATTTTGACATACACGTTTGGGTTGAGATGTGTTGTCTTGTGAAGAGCATTCGGACAGCAAGCAGAGGTTGCAATGTTTGTTGCCAATGGAATTGTCTCTGGAGAACGACCTTCTTATTCTGAGCATATTGGACACAACAAATCGCTGAGGTTATGGCAATGAATTGAGCATGAGGAGCTCATGCGCATTGCAGTAGGTCGCTTGCCACTGGCCGAGTTGGTTGGTTTGGACCATTGTACTTGGACGACAGGTTGCACCTTGCCAGTTGCACGTCTTGCCAGTTGCACGTCTTCCTTGTAGCGCCGGTTGACTACCCCCCATTTTGAGAAGAAGTTACCAAGTTGTGATTGTGACTCAGTTGCCCTTCCAGAAAGAAACATAGGTGTGTGTTTCTGAATCTACCCCTTTTTGATTGGTCTAAAGGAGAATTAAAGGAATTGCGCCATTCATCCCGGCAATGCGCGAGGCTTCAGTGCCTCTACTCTGAGTCGGCCTGCCTTTGGCGTCTTTGGGATGCTCAGGCGAGTTCGGGGAAAGCCCCATGGCTCAGGTGTTAAACAGATGGGCCCCTTTTTGGACCCGCCCAAGGTGCCACCAAGTTACGAACATTCGAACACTTGGAGAAGCCTGGCGAGGGTTGGAACAGGCACTCACCAAAACTGGTGGGAAGCAGGCGAATTGAGTGCCAAATCGGCCACATTTGCCAGGCAGAAGATCTCGCTGATTGTTGGCAAGGCTGGGGGCGCTTCGTTGGGCTCGAAATAGATGGAAGCTCACAGGACCATTTGAAGCATTGAGACAGATTAGTCCACACAGTGACGTTTTGCTTGTTTTGTGGGTTTTGTCCGGCCAATGGAAGTCTGGTGTTGAGCCGCAGGAATGCGGGGATGCCCTGATGAGAGATACCCGTAGCTTACTGGAGTGGGGCACCCGAACAAGTGATCAGAAGTGAACGTAATCGGTATGTCAAAGCAATTGTTTTGAACGCTTCCTCCAATGTGATAGTGCGGCCCTGAAATGTTGCCAGCGCCAGCGCTGGCGAATCTGTACACCTCATCCACATCCCATGCAGAAGCTCCTCTGAGCCCCTCTGGTTTGTAGAATCATCCAATCCACATAGGTTGCGCGACGCGCGGATATTATACCAATTTGCCTCCATTGCCGAGGTCCGAGGTGTTTGACGAGATTTGCCTCGACTTTCTAGGGCATTGAGGTTGCAGCACTCTAACCCTTCATCCATTCACCTCTATACTACATACAGACAAAGCCCGCGCAAGAAGAGTCAACAACTCCAGCGAGTTGTATAAACTCTACCCAATCTTCATCGCACCTCCCATTTAATGGTGCCCTGTTCTTGGCCACTAGCTCAAAAACCCCCAGCCCCCTCGAGACGCCAGGTAAGCACATCATCATCCACGGCACTCGCGTGAGGCAATCCAATGGCCCTGAGTTGACCGGCTGCGCCCAGACCCCAGTGACAGTTTGATTCTGCCAGGTGAAAGATGGCAGAATTTGGTTTGTTTGGGGAAAGGGGATGACGAAAACAACATGGGGTGTGTGCCATCTCTCACCCAACTGCATTTTTGGCTGCGAGAGTCCGGTATCGTCAGGTTCCCTTGTCGCCATGTCGGAGTGAAACCTGTTGAAGTGGCGTGCAGGAATTTGCTTCTCATCCTCCGAGGGTTTTCCGGAATGCGACCAGGTTAGCGTGAAGCCTGCGTCTTGATCGCATCCTTTGCACGCGGCCCAGCTTAGCGCTGGTCGGTTTAGACGGGAAAAGGGCGGAGGGACATGCTTGGAACCTTTGCGATGAAACAACGTTCAGGTTGGTCTTCACTTAGGGTTCCCTAATCCCTTTCCCGCTCGGCCTGGCAGGAAAGCGGCTCTCTCCGTCATAGATGGAAAGTGAGGCTTGCAAACTTTTGGACCTGGCACACTCTGGTGCACAGCGCGGGGTAAGCAATTGCTTCAGGCTTCACGCGCCTCACTTTTGGAAAGCCGGCTGGATAGGCAGCACCGGAAACTTTTCGCAGGCAGGGGGACAATCAACAAGCGCTTTGTGTTTTGTTAAAGCGTACCCCCACCCTTGACCTTGGTGGTTTGAAGACAAGCCAACAGGAACACAAATCCGGGTTCCCTTAGCTCTTAGGGGACCTTGAGACCGGCTGTGCATCCGCGAAATCGTGCCATCCTTGGGCTGGAGCCGCCAGCGGCTTGCATGCGATCCAATTCGGTTTTCTCTGATTCGACGGTCGTTGGCGTAACGAAACCAGGCATTCAATGACGTCCATGTAATTGAAATGGCCCTTCTGCCCGCCTCGGGAAAGTTGTGCGACATGGAAAACAGACTTGCGGACGATTGGAAACTGAGAAGGTTTTCCACCTGGGGTAACCCACTCGGGGGAGACACAAAGTCTACTCAGTTGGAAATTATGACAAGGGCCCGGAGGCTGGAGGGTTTTTTGCAGAAATTGCAGCCCCACAAATGCTTGTGTTTCCCTTGTTTCCTGAACCCCACCAACCAAACTTGCGAGTGTCGACAATTTGTTCAAGGTAACCGACCGCACTAGCCATACGAGATATCCAGCTCGAAGCAACCATATCTTACCCGAGTTTCAGTACGCACTTATATACACCTGCCAATGTTGGGAGAGGCCATCCAGGCAATGGTGTCATGTTGGATCAGCCTATATTTAAGGGGAGTCTATACTGTGGGAATGCAATTGAGGCGTGAACCCATGTGACTGACTGCAAACAGAGGCAGCAGCACCAGAAAACACTGTAACGCCCAATGAGTTGGCAAAAGACTCCATGCAGCAACAAGCGCGAGAGCCCTCACACGCCCCGACTGTCTTTAGAGCTTGGCTCAGATGCAAGGGTTGAGCTGGATGTGGGTCAGATTGGTTGGCATTGGTCATCGATGGTTGTTTGGGCCACACGTTTTGAGGGACTAACATGTCCACTGCTCAACCCTGCAAACGCATGCCACCTCGGGTCGCTGGTCAGAGACCCGGCATGCATTGGGGACTCATGGGGAGCGCCGGGAAAATCTACGCAATGCTGTCCGGTAGCAAGTCTTTGGGTGTGGCTCAAAATTCAAGAGCTAGGGTTACGCAGGTTTTAGTGTTTGGTTCCATTTTCTGAGGTCCCATTTTGGTACCACTTTTTTGAGCTACAGCCTTATAGCACATTCTCTATCTTTGTGTTGCTGCGAAACGCTAGACTGGAGCTGGCCGGCTATGCACGCGTATGTGCATTGAGATTAGGATGCGCAGAAGGAAGTTGTGACGACACGGCCCTTGGTGGATACAAGCAAGTTGCAGCTGTTTCGTATCAAATACGTTCAGATCAGCGGACGCAACCGCTTCACCAGCTGACTAGCTGACTGACTAGCTGAACTGACATGGCGGTTGCCTTCGACACCATCCTCCAGGGCGCGTACTCTGGCATCGAGGATCAGGTGAAGAGCGTGATCGGCGACCAGGACAGGACCAACAAAAACACAGCACTTCGTACTGCTTGACTTGGTCCCTTTGTCGTTCCTTGTGGTCCCTTGGTTCCTTGGTCTTGTTTTTCAGTCCCATGGAACAAGGGTCCTTTGGTCCGCTGGTCTTTTTGGTTGGTCTTGTATTTTAGTTGTTTGCTCGTTTGTAGTTTGATGTAGCTTGGTGGAAAGTGTGTTTGTTTTGTCGGTCGGTCGGTTGGTCGGTCGGTCGGTCGGTCGGTTGGTTGGTTGGTTGGAGTATTACCTGCCTGCCGGCCTCTGCCGGCCTCTGCCGGCCGGCCGGCCGGCCGGCGTGGGGCAGTGGCATTCAGCATGCATTCATTTCTTCATTAATTCATGGATTCATAGATTCATAGATTCGTTTAAACATTTACTGATTCACTCATACCATGAGCGTCTTTATTTATTTTCTAGTGGCCCCGCTTCGTTGTAGGGCCGTTTTTGGCTTAGCGATCCTTGTTTGTGCTTGCCCACTTTCTCCACTACTGGTTTCATATTAGTTTTCTTATTGGGTGCTGCGCCCCCCCAGCCCCGCCGCTTCTTTACAGGGCCTTTGTTCAGCTTTGTGCTCCTTGTTTGTAATCGCGAACTTTCTCCAGTGGTGTTTTCGGTATGTTTTTTCTACTCTAACACGAAAACTACTCAAACCCAACGCAAACCCTATACCAACCCTGCACCCCACTAAACCAACGCCAATGCAAAACCAATCCGAACCCCACCCTAAACCGGCACTGAGCCCAAACCGCTCTAGTCCACCCAAGAAACCCGAAGCAAACCCTTGACAGTGCTGGTGCAAAAAACGAGTGCGTGTTGCTTGAAAAGGCAGCAAACAGCATTTAGCACTGGGAGCGAAAAACAAACGAAGCCCTGGGATCCTTGTTTGTAACTGCGCACTTTCTCCAATGGGGAGTTTGGGGGGGCTGCGGGCGCCCATAGACCCGCCCTAACGACCCTCAACAAACCTCCTGCGCTAAAGCTGGTCTAAACCTGCCACCCTGAACCTACAACTCGCCCGAAACGCACCCGAAACCACCAACACCGCCCAAAACCCAGCGTAAGCCCTAAACCTGCCCTAAACTCCCACGGACCCTCAACCACGAGCCCATCCCGAAAGCCAACCCTGAACTTAGAAAAACACAGCCGTCCTTTGGTCCTCTCCCATGGCCCTCCCCCGATTCCTTCTCGTTTGGGTCCTTCGCTCCCTTGGGCTTTCGGTTTCTCTCGTCCTTTCGTCCTTGTCTCTGGTTGCGAAACCCCCGTTGGCCCCTGAGTGAATCGTTTGTTTGCTAAACAAGCGGTGCTTATTGCTAGTGTTAACAAATGACCCCCTTCGCTTTGGACTGAGTGCCTGGAGTCTCCAGGACCCTTCAAACATGGGGATTTCCATGACCCCTTTTCGGGCAATGACCCATGTTTGTTCATGTTGTTTTTCCCCGTTTGCCCGTTTCCCGAGGACGCCTGGGCGGAGCTTTGGGCGAGGCACAATGCCATCTTGCATCCCCCGCCGGCGCTTCCGGACTTGGACTTTGCAAACGAACAGCCCTCAGTTGCCGAGAATCTTAAAGAACCAAAGGAGGTTCTTTAAACGACAAACATGTTTTAACTGGAGGTAGGCCTTTGGTCAAACACTTGTCGCAACACCCGAGTGATTGGAAACAACCGCCTTGTGGGCGCGTCAAGAGGCAAAAAGCGATGCTGTGAGACAACGGCCCTGTTCCACGTTGAAAAGTAAAAGCACCCAACTCGCACCCATGATGTCCTGGCAATCCACAATTCTGCAACTCGGGTGCTCAACGACCTAGTGGATGAATTTGTCCATTGCAGTTCTCGGCCGCCCGCGAGTGCGCATTGCGCCAAGGAGATGATCGTGTGCCTCTATGCCGGCCAGCAGGGCTCTGGAGGCTCCAAGAAGAGGTCGTTTGGTCCAGTTTCGAACCGAAGCCAAACGGGTATCGTCTCTGCCCTGATTGTTGAGGCCCTTGAAGTCAGCCATGGCCTTCTGTCCCACAGATTGCGTTTCCTTGACGTGGGAAGCATGTGTTTGACATTCCAGATGAATCAAAAGAAGCCCCACCGCTTGGAGCCTAGTTTTACACACCAGAGCGGCTTTGCTCAATGTGAGAACTCCAGCTGCGGAGGATTGAATCCAGAAAGATAGTGATGCACCTTCATCCCACGCAGAGAGAGAGAGAGAGAGATTCTCCACAAAGACACGGGTGTGTATGTAAATGCCACCTTTCGCCTCAACAAAGACGAGCCACCATGTCAGCTGCCCAGTCGCACCTCAGAGATTCAGGTCCATGTTGTGTTTTTCTGTTCTTTTTTTCTCGGGCCACATGTGGGTTCGGCCACGCAAGCGCAGCCATTTGCTGCAGGCCCTGTTCCCTTGGTTTCAAGGGACACCATTCGGGTCCTACCAACTCCTCGATTCGCTAGGCTACACCGCGTGCATCCGCAGCATCGAGGACTCGGAAGATGGGCGCCGGGTTTCTTTCGAGCTCGGCTGCCCACCGCCCGGGGCCATGTGCACCGACGCGCTGACGCAGCCGCACCACTTGGTGCGCATGCCCAGGACATTTTGGCCGTCAAAATGCGGGTGGGGGGAGTTCTTGAAATTAGCGGGTAGTTTCCTGTTTTGTTTGGGCAGTTAGGTTCCTGCTGGCCCTCAAAACCATCCAAGGGGGCCGCACCCAATAGGGCTCCGGGACGGCCTCGCTGCTCATGCTTGCCTCCCTTCAAGCACACCCAGAAGCAAGCAATGCCGAATCATGCCCTAGATGTTGCAGAAACGAGCATGGAGAAAAGAAAAGCAACATGCTGCCACAAACAGAACCCGAGCGAGTGAAGGTTTGTAAGGACAGTCCGATGAATTGCTGCGGAAATCCTCCTGCTTGATTCTTTGCCAGGGGATGATCTGATGAGCCCAACCCTGATGGCTTCTACTCTGGAGCGGAACACCACCCCACTTTATATTGATTGAAGTCCATCTAAAGGTAGGCAACAAGTTGTTTTGCATGGCAGACTCGGATCCTCCATCCAATTTTCTCCCACTTGTTTCTTTCCTGCCGGTTCGGGTGGAATGGCTGAAATCAGCTTTCATCTCGAGCCAATTCAGCCCGGATCGGTGGGACCGTAGGACGACTCTGCCGGTCTCCTTTCGAGAGGTGGTGGCTCCCGTTGAGGTGGCGACTTGGCGACTAGTGCGACCCAAAGGCCTGTCAGGACTTTCTGAAATTAATGGATCCCTCTAAGAGAAAATATGGTCAATACCTGCAAACTGTACAGATACTTGATTGGGCTTTTCCATTGTTCACTTGAAATGGTTCGCCCAGGCCACATCTGCCACCTTCTTGCTGACCTTCGACCCAGCAAAGAAGGAGGAGGCCACACAGAAGGCAAGCGTGAGTGCGAGAGGTGGCTATATGTTTGGTTTCTTGTTTTTGTTATTTGCAACCACCTTGCAAGTGGTTGGACCTGCATCCCACCTAATGTTCAGACAAGAGACAACGCCACACAAGCTGGAGTTGCAAGCTCTCGACCTTCAACGTCGGAGTGAGGGTTCTTTGCATTGTGCTTGCTGCAGACTTCCAGGCCTGGTGACCTTTGATTGCTGGAGGGGTTTGGAGAACCAAGGTAAAGCCCCCGGAACTATAGCCATGACCCACATAAGGTTGTCGTGGGTCAACCGTTGTGACACCGCCAAGTGCTTCGCACATGCCTGGCGGCCTCTCTGGCACTTGAACGTGCAGATGTGATACCCTTGCGGGTTCAGTTGTGGTCGAAGACAAAGACTTCTTCTTCCACTTCAACATGCAAAATGCTTTGTTTTTGTATCTGAGGATTTTCAGAGTCATCTTATTCTGGAATCTATTCAACAGTGTGATGACATTTTGAAGTAGCTTTAAGGTGTCTGGTCTCACCCCTTTTGCTTCGCATCGACCGGGCCAAAGCAGCCGCAAACGCACAAGAACAGTGACCGAAGACCATGACCCACACAAGGAGTTTTGACCAGCCATCGGCTCGAGGCCTTCCCCGTGGGATGGTGGGGGAGGCCACTCAGGCGGTAGTGAGCATGTTCGTTCATGGAGCTGGGTCTCCTGCAATTCATCAACATCAAGGACTCTGGGTTGCTAGAGGAGGGTGGTCTCCATTGCATTTTTCAGGAGCTAGTGGAGAACTCACACAGACCTGCCTCACGTGGCAGGCGCAAAGCATGGCAGGAACTGCCGCGTTTGCAAATGACGAGCTGTCTGGACGGAAGGTGGTTGTGAAGGTCGAATGGAAGGCCCATCCCAGGATTCAAGTCGATTTGCCGAACCTTGCCTGGCTGAGTGCGTGCCGCAGCTCTAGAGCGGCGCGGGCGCAGAGTCCTTTGCCGGTCTACGCACGGGAGCAACAACACGCGGTTTTCGCGTTGAGCTTCCAGTAGGCTGGGCAGCGCGCGCTTGGATGCCGTTCCACCACATGCCGCTCAAACGCCTGCGCGGTGCCTGGAGCAGATTCGGCTAGCAGGCAACATTGCCCGCAAGAGGGCTGCGCTGTTCTTGAGCTAGAGGCGGTGGGATGAAATCTTGGTGCTTGCCACCTTGGACGCGATGTTCTGCGTGGCAAGGGTGGTTACGGGCTCTTTCTTTGCCTAGTGAATCTGAGCCTGGAGATGAAGCACGCGCACAGGTATTGCTTCGATGATTTGCAGCGAGTTGGTGGGCGCGGAGCAGGTTTTTTTACCGCTGCAATTTCGTAGCGGACTCGGTAAGCGGTGGCTGGGGTTTGGGGCCAATGCCTTGCAGAAGTTGCAGCTTTGATCAGGCAAAAGGAGAAAAACGGGGTTTTGACCATGGCGCATGTATTTTCTTCAGGTGACGGGCATGCCGGAGGTCAAGGATGTCAAAGCTATGTTTGGCGGCGACATCCTAAGTCTGAAGTTCGACCTCTCGCGCCTTCGGCAGGACCTTCATTGCAATATTCTTCGAGCTGCCTTGTTTAGGTTGGGGAGGGGGATTCATGTAGAGTAAAGGCAACGGTGCCCGCGCCGAAGGGGGGTGTCCTCAAGTTTTGGAATAAAGGCGCCCAAGCCGAAGTTACGCCTCCTCGTCGTAGAAGCACCTTGTGGCTTCAGCTGTGAGGGTGGGGCAGCTTAGGTTTAGGAGGTAGCCCGCCTTCAGCTAATCACATGGCGATCCAGAAAGGAACCCACTGGCTGATCTCCGCAAGTTCGCCAACGATCAAGCGCAGAAGCGCCACACGTTTGTATTTGTTTCGGGGCCTGCTGTTGACCGTAGTGCATTTGGACTGGGGCGAAACAGTCGATTTTTGTTGGTTTTTCTCACAAATGAACTGAGGCTCAGGAGGCTCCTATCAGATGCCAAAGTGTGATTTGGTGCTCCCCCTGCTGCATTGCCCAGCCCACACTGCTGGAGTCTGCACTTGTATTTCTATTCCATGAGTAAGTGGTTATAGCCATGAGCTTTAAGAGGGAACTACGTCACAAGTGTTGGGTGGACATGAATGGCTCACCTACATGATGTCTACCAAACTGCCCCTACGGAAATTCACACCCATATTGCTCCGAGTTGCTCCTCCAACCAAGTCTCCCTTTGCATTGGGATGGCCACGCAGCCTTCAACTTGAGGATTTTGGGAGCTATACGGCCCTCTGGAGTGTTGACCTGGCAGATGCGAGGCTCAGGCAAAATGAGATTCAGATTGCTTATTTGGGGGACACTCATGTCAAAACACTCCCATATGGGTCTTGATTCGGGAGCCTGACACGTCGCGGACGCATCTCCTTGAAATTCCACGAAGTTCGCTGAGGGCCATGACGGCGGCGGAGGCCCAAGCCCGGCTACAGGGCGTGGAAGGCGTGGCCTCTGTGGAAAAGGACGGCTGAGATTTGGAGAAGCGCTGAGCAGAGAAATCGGGGGCCAAAAAGCCTGGACCCGGAGCGTAGAGGACATTAGGAGTGTTGAATTTAACATTTTCGAGCCTGCTTGCGGGTCAAAGCTGGGATGTCCCAGGATCGTTTTGTTTGATTTGGAACAGGCATAAGCGACGGAAAAAGTGCGGCTCGCCAGAGAGGGGCAGGGTACGGTGTTCTGAGATGGGGCTGGAGAGGTTTCTTTGACTGCCGTCAATGACTGGAACACTGGAACCGGTCGCATTCAAGTGGTTGGAAGTGTGAATCCCCACAATTGAAATTCACGCAAAGACTGAGACGGGCCAGGGGTTCGATGCGCAGGTCCTTGGAGTCGGTTGCCGACTTGGTGTCATTGCCAGTCCCGTCAGCAGGAAAACAAGGCCACTTGGAATGTGCTTGTGTCTTGTTGAGCGATCCCTTTTTGGGGGGGTGGTTTAAAGGGAAACCACCCATTTTGGCGTGCCCCCATTTGGAAACGTGTCCATGCGTTGCAAACCTTTGATCTCCAGCTTCGATCGCCGTGGCTTAGCCAACAAGGCAGAAGGCCAGCAAGCATTTCGAGAAGCATCTAAGCTAAGCACATCTGCATCTGCATGCAGCACAGCCAAATTTGTTCGCAGTTTTTGAGCATCTATCAAGCAGCTATCGTATTCAGCCGTTGCTAATTGGCTCGCCGTTCTTGGTATCCTTTTGCTGCGTGGAGCTAGCGGTTTGACTCCTTTTTAGGCAGGCCTCGCTTCGCAAATGGTCACAAAGTGCGCTGTCCAAGAGAGAAGGTTCATACTTCTCATGTAAGGTTTGTAAATTGATAAGTGTTGGCTTGGACCTTTGCAACTGTGAGCTGCCCTCGCCGATGTCACCTTCGAATAAGTTTGGACAAGCATGCAAATCATGTTTTTTTCTTGGATAAGTATGATGCACGGGGAAAACGACGCAGTTATCATTAACAATTGTCAAGCCTGTCCAATGCCATACAAACCATTCCCGAGTGTTTGCTTTGAGACGTAGCAGTCAACGGTGGAGGCAGCACAGAAACGGCCAACTGGTGCTGAGGTTTCAAGCACCTGTTTTTGGCCAAGAGGTGTTGGGGAAATTGGGAACGCCGTGCCCGAATCTTTCGGAAGTTCCGGCAGGGCCATGGGCGGCTCTTCCTCTCGAGAGAGAGGCTCCACCCAAGAGGCCAGAGCACCTGCAACCTCTTGGCAGTTTGTGGTTCTACCTGGTTTAGTAGGGACTATAGTGGGCCTAAACCGTCATCGCCATGCCTGTAGAACCCAAAGTCAAAGTGTTGGGCGCTGTGCATTTGGGTGCTGCCAAAACCGGAGGGGCCATTTTGCTGGAAAAAGCAACTCCAACCACCTTCGGGGCCCCCTTGTCTCCTTTGCTCGTAGCTTTTGCTCTGTACCATTGAACCTTCGGCGCACGATACTGTAGCCTCACATGAGAGTGTCTTCCTTGAAACGCGTCGTGAAAGCTGAGCAAGTTTGCAAGTTGCGTTTTGGCGGGGGACAAGACTTGCTTCTTGTACAAACTGTGGACTCACAGCTATCCTTGTCATGACATGAGGCACGGAGTTGGGGAAATTGCGGTTGGCCATATTAAGGCTGGATTGTAACTTGGAATCATACTCAAGTGCTGATGAGAGGGCCCCCCCCCCCCAACAAAAAAAAAAGGTGGAACGGGGGTTAGGTACCCTATGTCTCACCAAGGCGAATTGTTTCAAGGAGGCCACGGGGGAAGGGGGAGGGGGAATCAGCCATGACCTCGGACCTGCCAGGCCATGCCAAGCTCGAGCCCAAGTTGCTGTACCCAGCAATATGGCTATATGGTTGCTGGTGGCACCGATGAAAACATCGTTTGACGCAGCACTTAGTTTTGCGCGGGCCGAGAGCCCGTGAAATGTGTTGTGGCATTGATTGAAGCCTTCACCAATCACATTCTTGGATCTTGGCTCGGCGACGAACTTGCTTGGTTTGGGGTCATTGTTTTGACAGTTTGCATTGTCAGAGAATGAGCGTGGATCCCTTGAACGTCCCAACCTGCCACTCAGTGGGTGACTTTGATAAAGTGATTGGGCCAGGTGAGCAACAAAGCGGAGACCTGCGCGATCACACCATCCGCCCAGGCCCAGCTCAAGGCACGCCCGAAGATGAGGCACGACGAAGACAGGACACAGAGTCGGGGGGGGCGGGGCCCGGGCGGGGTAAGGAGAAAATCATAGAGACTTTCTATCTTGTAGACTCACAAACTAAAAACCCAACCTTAGAACGGGTCCCTCCACAAAACACGCACCCAATATGCCAAAAGCAGGTGGTTCAGTAGTTTTGGGTTCCCTCCCAACCTTGGCAGCGATGTGAAGGGTGGAGGTCTCCCATTGGGAAACCCCTTTGGCTTGAAACATAAGAGTTTCAATACGGCACCAACTCAAAAGTGGTTGGTGGACTTCTGAATCCGAAGATTGCTGTGCCCGGGACCCATTAAATGTCACACCCACATGGCTTGCCGACAGAGACACGACATAAACACTGGACACGCTAACTGCCGGTCGGTCCGATTGGGGCTCCACAGGTGTCCGGTTTCGTCCGCTCGGTTTGAAGATAGGCACTCGTTTCAGTTTGGATAAGGTGTAAACAATGAACAACGCCATGACAACTACTTGGATGACAGTGGCGGGTATGCGTCAACACAGGTGGGAACAGCTTCCCCTTTAAGCCACCCCAAAAGGCCATGCAAAAAAACACGCCCATGTTTCTCATCCAGAAATGCTGCCGAGGAGAAGGAGGATGAGGCTTTTGCTCGCCAGCTCTGGATGGAGGCGCAGCTCTGCAAGGGCAGCTATGGCTGGCTCATGCTGTTGGCGAAATATGGGTTGGCATCTACACAGGGTGAAAGTAGACGGAATATACAATAAGTTTCTTTATTTGGGCAAGTCAAAATGACTAAGCCCATTTTTTGGAAATGGTGCCAGCAACTTTCACCCAACCTGTACAAGATTGTACACAGTATGCATTGATTGGTCAATGTCGATTCACCGGTGGAATTGCCCACTGCTTTGATAAACTTGTGCGCAGGAGATGTCGACATCCTTTGGCCTTCCAGGACAACTGCCAATGCAATCTTGAAGCATCAGCGAAGTGAGCTTTGAGCTGTTCTGATTTCAGAGGTTTGATTGGTTTAAACGCCGAGCGGCTGCAATGGTATGATAGCTTCCATATTTCAATGCAGGTGCCTACTACAGCATTGTTTTGCAACATCATGTGCCTGTCACGCTTTTGCGAGAGCATGGCCCTAGTTGATCCAATTTGATCCTTGTAAGGCACCAATGGTACAGGATTCAAGTAGTGGTCTCGCATATATATTGTAGTGCTTTGCGAATTAGGATGAGGGATGCTCTCTTTTGAGCAAGCGAGTTTGAACATGAGGAGCATCAGAATCTTCCAGCTCCAGTCGCCTTTCGCCGCAAGCAGAGGCCTCAGCGTAGGGAGTGCGGGTATCAATGGCCGGCGGAATCCGCGACCAGTGCCACCAACTCTGACGGTTTTTGCTTGCGTGAGCAGCCAGATCAACCTGAGCTGAGAGACTGAATTCTATGGGATCGATTGGCTGATTGAAGTGCCTATCCATGTGTGAGTACATTTATGTGAGTTTGCCTGTTGATGTGGGACCTCAGTCACCTTGCCTAAGGGCGTTCTCCTGCGCGCTTCCTGCCCTGCTTGTGGTTTCGCAAATCAGCCGGCAGCTCAGATCCAAGGCAAAATCTCTTAGGGTCTGGGGGGGTCTGTAAGCCTTTGACAAGGCCTCGTTGAGGGGTGAATCAGGCCTTAGACCCTTCCTGCACGATAACCTTACCAGAAAAAAATAAATAAACATAAACTTCCTTGAAAAAGGAAAAATGAGACATAGGCCTCTTTGTGTGCAGTCCTTGGTGAGACCTGAGTCTCAAGATAGGCCAGACTCACCCTAGTATGGTCATGTATGGTCAACCGACCCGATGTTGAATCGATGTGTCCGATTCAATCCTGGCTGCCCTCGCACGGCAATTGCATGCAAAGACTTAAATTGCGCATCAAAGCATATGTCTTTTTTGAGGGTACACCCTTTCGGCTGGTGAAGGGAAACCGAAGCCATGTTGGGGGTCCAAATCCGGAAAGTCGCCCCCACACGATCGGGATTCAACTGCTCGCATTCGATTGCAAGGTTTAGCCCAGCGCTGGGTGCCCATGGGCAAATGCGGGTGCAATGCAGTCAATGCTCCGAACAGTTCCAGGCGAAAGTTGTTGCCAAATCAGCCAGTGTGAAGTGTAGACAAAAAATGGCGGACGAGCTGGGAAATGTGAACATTGGAGTTTTGCTGTTCTTGATTGTTCTCTGTTCCCGTGCTGAGCCCAGACGAAACATCGAATCTGTCCCTGGCACGATTGTGATTCCAACATCGTACTGAGGCCTTTTCTCTTGGGTCTGTTGGAAACTGGTTGAGAGGCCACAATTGTAATTTACCAGGGAAACCACAAGGGGATTGTTTTTTGTTGCAGACACCCTTTAGCACCCAGATGGAACCAGTTACACCTGTCAGACAGTCCACTCCCGGCAGTTTGGCACACGCGAGAGATCTCGTCTTTCGTCGCCTTCCAGGCTGCCCTCCCGGAGCCCGCGCCCCAGGACAGCGGACGGACCGCGTCGGCTCCGACGCGCCGGGCTCGTTTGGCTTTTCTGGCCGGTTGCCGTCGGTTGCCGTCGGTTGCCGTCGGTTCGAGCTTAGGGGCGAGCATCCGGTTCGGGCCCGCCCAGCCCTGCAGCTGTGCCGGCGGTGTGGTGACCACTGGGTTCCTTGAGGTGCGAAGCCCCCCTTGGCTCAAGGACAACGTAGACTTTGGATTCCACGAGTTTCATTCGGTACCCTATTCTCCTCAAGTTTTGCTGGCAAAACCAAACCATTCACCAAAATGGACAGATATGGGGAAGGTCCTTATCTTTGTTGCCTCAAGGTCTCGGATTCACCACCATGGCCATTGGTCATATTGATTGAGACTCCCTTGCGGATGAGCTCGGTTGCTTGTTGCTTCAACCCGCAACATCGAAGGAAGGCTTGGCCGCGTTGGGAACAAAGATGAGTGCCAACTCCTGATGCGTTTGATGCGTTCCTTTTCTGTGGAAATGCCAATCGGCCGTGCCTGCCTTTAAGACATATGGCAAAGTCATGAGAGCGTTTCAGAGTTGGCGTTTGTCATGCGACTGGTCCGAAAATGTATTTTGGGAGAGGCGGCAATGTGCGCAACAACGATGTTGATGCGTTGTTGGTTAGAAGGGGGTATTGTGCTGACTGCTATGTATCCACTTCACTTGCAAGCAGCTGTTGCATGCATTATGTATCATGGGAATGATCAGGCCTTGTACAAGCGTCCTGCGTCAGCGATTCCTCTTCATGTGTTGACTAGCAAAGAGCTAGCCAGGGTTCGAAACAGCATGGTGCCCCCGAAATCGTCAGGTACGTTGAACAGCAGTTTTCCTCCGCCGGTCCCGGGGCAACAAGTCCGCTGCGGGCGCTGCGGCCACGTCAGCGAGGCACGCATGGGAGACATTGCTTGATACAAGGATACTGCGTTTATCTCAAGGGGGGATGGAAATCCAAAGGAATGTATTGAGACGCACCCAGCCAAGATGCCAAGCTTAGTTTGATTGCTACCCCTTGACAGTGCCAGCAAGCTGGTTTGACAGTGTTCCAAGATTTTACGCAGACATGGAGGCGGCACCTAGGCTGAAGCCGAGGAACAGGAAAGGTAGCGGACTCCTTGTTTGTATGTTGAAGACAGGCACTGCCTGTCGCCTTGCGACGCTATGGCGCCAGATTTCACAAGTTGCCCAGGGGACCACCTCATATTGCTCATGTCCTCTGTGGCAGATCGTCGGAAGCGGTGCCACTGTCACAAGTGTGTGTGTGTGTGTGTGCGCGCGATGCCCACAACTGGTTGCCAAATGTGACGAGGCGGGTATGAACATGGGGTACTATGAACATGTGCTTTGCCTCAAGCAGCACAAGCAGCAGCACAAGCCACCTTCCCAGCCAGACTGATACTTGCTGCTTCCTCTCAGGAGCGTAGCTCGCTTGGCACACGTATTCCTGAAGGGATGGCATTGCAAGCAATGGTCTTACACTGTCGGAGCTGTCCACTTCCATACCTTCTGAATCCTGGCGCCGCTGTTGGGCTCTAAAGGTGTTGAATTCTATCCCGGCACACCTCTTGCAAACTAATATTCAACCAAAAAGCCCAACCTGCATTGTTGGTTGGGGATGTGCGGGTTGAATATGCTTGTAAAGATTCACTGCAACGCTCAATTCCGTGCAAATGCTGGTATGTGTTCGACTTCTCCAAATCGGGGATCCCGATTGAATGTGAGAGATTGCCCTGAATGTGTCTGGGGAAACCAGGCTGCAAACTCAGGTGCTTTCGTCGGGAACCCAGAGCAAACCACCCCATCTCAAGGCTTTCGGGTACTTAGGAACCAAAAGTTAAAACCACGAGCAACTCCCCATGGAGTGCATGTTTGGGGTGAGCGTTTACCTGAGGGAAACAACACGGAAACCACCAAAAAAAGAACAGACCCCTTTTCACTGAGGTTTTGAGAAGCCACAAAAAAATACACCAGCAGAGACCCCAAACAGTTGAGGACTGACGGGCAAGCACAAACATGCCAACCGCTTGTGGCTTTCTGCGCGTCAACACGGATGAATCAAAATGATGCAGTCGTGAACCCGGCACGCGTTGCGTTACTGCATGTGTGTTGCTGGCGTGCTTCGCGCTTCAGCACCGCGCAGGAACTGAGGTTGGGCAAGCGCGTGCGATAGCGGGCGAGCGCGCGCGCGTGAACGCAAGTGTGGCTGCGCAAGCGCGCGGCCACATGGGCAGTTCAGACACACATATGTCCAATTCAGACACACATGCCTGTGTACATGTGGAACACACATATGTATACGACTGAAACTGTACACGCGGCACGCACAGATGTGCACCCGTGAACACACATATACATTCACCCGCGGCACACGCATACATGTGTTGAGATGAAAAACCAAGTTGTGCTTCTTGTAAAGCACAAAAAAAAAGCACGCACACACACACACATGCGTAAACCTAGAACACACATATGTGTTCGCCTACGGCACGCTAATGTTTTCACGTGGAACACACATGTCTTCACTTAGAACACAATGAAACGCGTGCCCAATTCAGACACACATGTGCGCACACGTGTGTTCACCTGGAACACAAACATGTGCAATTAAAGCACACATGTGTGTACATGTGGGACACATATGTATATCACTGCAACACAAATATGTGTCCCGGAACACCGCGTGTGCGATTAAAGCACACATGCGTGCAACACACATATGTGCACGGGTGAGCAAGAACAAATGCTCACCTAAAGCGCACACACACACGCACACATGTACGCACCTCGAAAACAATCATGCGTTTTCTGGAGCACATACATGTGTACACCTGGGGAGCAAATATGTCGCCAGATGCAATAAAAAATGTTCACCTAGCACATAGTAATGTGTTCGCGTGAAACACACATTTGCCCACCTGGAACACAAACACGAGCCCAACAACAGCCTGCCCACAGCCCAGCCCAGTAACCTGACAGCCCAACTAGCCCAACAGCAACAGCCCAGCATGCGAACGCCCGTGTCCAAGTGGAACACACATGTGCGCACACGTGGAACACACATAGGTGCACACGTGAACACACACATGTGCACATGTGAACACTCACATAAATGCGCACCCGGAACACACACCAGTGTGCTCATCCGATGACAACCGTGTGTTCTCCTGGAACGCAAACACGTGTCCAATTGGAACACACATGTGTGCACACGTGAACACATACGTGTACACGTGGAACACACACGAGTGTTCATCTGAAAACAAACATCTGTTCACCTCTTACCGTGTCTGATAAGAACACACATGTGTGCACACGTGAACACACATATATGTGTGTACACGTGGGAGACACACATGCGCACAGACATGTGCACAAGGGAACACACACCCGTGTACTACACACGTGAACACACACATTTATGCGCACGCAGAAACACAGACACACATGAGTATTCATCTGATAACAAACACGTGTTCTCAAGGAACACAAACACGTGTCTAGTTGGAACACAGAAGTGTGTACACATGAACACACGTCTGTGCACACGTGGGACACACATATGTGTACGCGTGAACACACAAATGCACATGTGCGCCCGGAACACACTCACGTGCGATCATCTGATAACAAAGATGTACTCACCTGAAGCACACATGTGTGCACACGTGAACACACAAGTGTGCACACGTGGAACACAGAAAAGTGCACAAATGAACACACACACACACACACACATGTGCACGCGGAGCAGACCTAAACACACACATGCACACACGTTCATCTGATAACATACGTGTGTTCTCCTGGAACGCTAACACGTGTCCAGTTGGAACGCACATGTGTGCACACTTGAACACACAAATGCGTACACGTGGAACACATCTATGCGCACACGTGAACACGCACACATGTGCATGCAGAGCAGACACGTGTTCATCTGATAACAAACATGTGTTCTCCTGGAACATGTCCAGTTGGAACGCACATGTGTGCACACGTGAACACGGAAATATGTACGCGTGGAACACGCATATGTGTACGCGTGAACACACATATGTGTACACGTGAACACACATATGTGTACAAAGACACACACACACACATGTATGCACGCCCGGAACACGCACACACACGCGTGTTCGTTTGATACAAACATGTGTTCCTGGAACACAAACACGTGTCCAGTTGGAACGCACATGCACACGTGGAACACACATATGTGCACACGCAAACACACACAAGTATTTGCCCACCCGGAACACGCACACACACATAACAAGCATGTGTTCCTGGAACACACACATGCGTACACCTTGAACACATATGTGTGTATGTCTGGAAAGCACATTTCTGTTCACCTGCAACACACAGTTGTGTTCACCTGGAACCCATACATGCGCTCGCTTGGGACAGGCATTTGTGTTCACGCGCAACACTGAAAGGGAGACAAATGAACCGAGAGAGCCGCGCCAGGCGTCCGGGAAATGAAGGGAGACAAAGCGAGACAAATGAACCCTACCGAGCCGTCCAGGCTGGGACACAACGGGAGACAAATGAAGGGAGACAAATGAAAACGTCCACACAGAGAGAGGCGCCAGGGATCCAGGCTGACAACGGGGGACAAATGAAGGGAGACAAATGAAAACGTCCACACAGAGAGAGGCGCCAGGGATCCAGTTTGGAGACAACGGGAGACAAATGAAGGGAGACAAATGAAAACGTCCACACAGAGAGAGGCGCCAGGGATCGGATCCAGGCTGGGAGACAACGGGAGACAAATGAAGGGAGACAACAGAGAGAGGCGCCAGGGACCCAGGCTGGGAGGCAACGGAACGGGAGACAAATGAAGGGAGGCAAATGAAAACGTCCACACAGAGAGAGGCGCCAGGGATCCAGGCTGACAACGGGGGACAGATGAAGGGAGACAAATGAAAACGTCCACACAGAGAGACGCCAGGGAAGACAAATGAAGGGAGACAAATGAAAACGTCCACACACAGAGAGGCGCCAGGGATCCAGGATGGGACACAACGGGAGACAAATGAAGGGAGACAACAGAGAGAGGCGCCAGGGATCCAGTTTGGAGACAACGGGAGACAAATGCAGGGAGACAAATGAAAACGTCCACACAGAGAGAGGCGCCAGGGATCCAGGATGGGAGACAACGGGAGAAATGAAGGGAATGGGAGACAAATGAAGGGAGACAAATTAAAACGTCCACACAGAGAGAGATCCAGGATGGGAGACAACGGGCGACAAATGAAGGGACACAAAGGGAGAAAAATACCCAGAGAGCCGTGCCAGGCATCCAGGCTAATTATGGCTTGGCAATAGGCGAGTCACTTTACATAAACTTAGAACCCCTGACAGTAAAATGCTTGGGGAAATACATTTTCCGCATATTTTTGGGGAACCCCCGCCCTTTTTCGCTTGGTTTCGGACACCGTTCTGTTAGAGAGCAGGCGGAGCCACGGGAGCGGCACCGGCGCCCGGTGGACCGGCCACAGCGCGCCCTGCTGGAAGCGCCGGGGCCTCACGTTGCCTTACCCAACGGAAAACACCGGGGGGGAGGCGGTGTGTGCAGCGGGGCGGGGGGTGGACACCCTTTCGCGCAACGCAAGGTGTTTTTCTTCGTTCCGGCCTTTCGTGGGGTTCGTAAGGCAGATGCTTGAGCATGTAACCAAAAAACAGGTTGATTGAGAGTTTTGGGTTGCCCGATGGATTTGGACCATTGCAGGGCCCATTTGGGTTTCTTGCAGCGGACCCGCGCTTGCAATATAGGTGTGTACTTGTTTGCGGGGTTCTCCCAAAAAGGGCACCGGCGAAAAGACTAGTAGGGCCTTTTGGGGAGTTCGAAAGCTGTTTTTTGGGTATTAAACATCAGTGGTCGTTGACGAATTGGTTTTCATGTTTTCTGAAAACATGAAAATAAAAGGACACCACCATTTACAAGGCAATGTTCAGGTGCCTGCTCGGCCTGGACTGACGATATTTTTCAAGAGGTTTTGATATGGTAGACTGGTAGACCTTCCTTTTGCTGAACGAAATACATTGATGAATGGCCCGGTTTAAGGACCAGGCAGGCAAGCAGATGCAGTGCCTGCTACTTCGCTACTTCAATGACTTCAGGGGGTGTCCTTTTTCTGGGAGGTACTCTTTTGGTTTACCTCGAAAAAAGACACATATCATATCATCATTTGGCAGCACCAAAAACAAGTGGGTTGTGGCTGCTCGAATGTGCTGACTTTTGATGGCGTTCGTGCGCTAAGTTGTGCGAATGATGAATGACTTAGCCCGCCCGAATCCCAATCACCTAAAAGAGCAGATTGTCAAAAGACCTCAGCTACGCTATTGACCCAAACCAGGGGTCCCTCTAGGTCCTTTTCAGCCCGTTACATCATTCTTTGGGCCACTAGATAAAGATTCCTCTTCTTGTGATATTCAAGGAGGGAAATATGGATGTGTCTCAACGCAGGCAATCACGAACCTTTTGGCATCGTTTCGGGTCCAATTAAGCAGCTCTTCACAGGGCACGCTGAAAGAAAATAGAGACCCGCTGGAAAGGACGAGATGAATTGCCGATCCCATGCGCTCAGGCTCCTCAGCGAGCAGCCCCAAGCGCTGCGGGGGATGAGTGGCCCAGTGGGTGCGCTGCCAGTCGCAAGCACCATGTGCCGAAAGGACAGCAAATTGGCAACGTGGTTGTTTACTGTTGTTTTTTGGTTTGCATTTTTCCCCAAAAAATATTCCATGGCCCAGAGCCTGGGCTGCGTTGGCTGAAAATTGCCCATGGCTTTGCAATGCCAACTTCACGGCCTGCGCAGTTCGCATTCCCATCGACGGGCAGCGACAAGCAATCCCGCTGGCACAGCCGGACATGTGTTGACGCCTGCAGAACGCAGTTGTGATGTTGCAGGGTTTTTCGGGCGGGGTTTCCCTTCTGTGTCCCTTCAGAGTGTTGACTGATGCAGGCAAAGAGCCAACCCAAGCCCCACCCTCACAAAGCTCCTCAACAGCCGGCGCCCTGCCTGAAGCAACCTCAAGGTGAACCAGTGCAACTCTGGCCAAAGATGTGGGCAGACTGGGGCTTCGGGAGGACGGAAAGAACTCGTGAAAGCACTAAGCCTGAGGCAAGGAGCCCTGTGCCGCGCCAGGCCCTCCCTTTTGCCAAGTTGTTTCCAACGTGAGTTCTCCAATAAATGGACCGCCTTTTATTTATTTTTATTTTTTTGTTTTTTTGTTTTTTAAAGGAACCCAATCATTGGGACGACGTGAAGTGTTTTTGGTGTGGGCTCTTCGGATGACAGGCCCTGCTGGCAGCGTTGATGGCTGCAGCTGAGGCGCGGGATTTGCATCGTATCCCCAGCGGTTGCTTTGCCCAAAAGTCCCAAAAGCAGACGTTCAATTCGGGGGCTTTATTTCGTTTGTCGTGTGCTGTAATTCTCCAGGAAAAAGCAAACCCATTCTGAGCAACCACTAGCACCAGCACGAGACCAGCGACACTACGCGACCAGTACTGCATCCCTCTCAGACACCCAAAGCCAATCAGCACAACACCTTGCAACCAAAGTACAGTTGGCAGTTGCTGGTATTGTTAGATTCTACAAAGGCCCCCAGCAGTTCCTAAGCCAACCCTAAACAAAGTTGCAACCAACCTGCAACCATGCCACCCGAACCACCTTAATCCCCCAAGCCAAGTCTGAGCAACAGTTGCAGCCTAACTATGGCCCCTCATCATTTCGCAGAGTTGCGCGTCTTAAAAAGGACTGCTGTGACCGGAACCTGTCACCATTGCGAGCAAAGTTCGGATGGCACTGTAAGAGCCTTGGAGGGATTTGGCCTAGCAGGAAGCAAATGGGCCTGAGGGAAGTCTGAGGTCAGCTTGAGATTGAAACCAAAGTGCTCGGCCCAGGCAGACAAGTCAAATCCTGCCAGAAGACTCTCGGCAGCACTGAGCGCCACACCTCGGCTTGTGTTTGTGTGCTCTATACATATTGGAAACACGGGATTTGGGAACTGTCCACATGGTGTGCGCGATGCAAAGCCAGCTTCATTAGGCCAATAAAGAAGTCAAGGGCTGCAAACTAAGAAAGATCGGCAGGCGTCCACCTCAAGTTGTTGTTACCTTTTTTTCGGGCAAAACACAAAGGTCTTGAGCAATCAAAGGCACCAGCCATACTTGACACCCGGCAACGTGCTCATGCCAAGGATCAGATGTAGCTGCCCTACCTACGTCACGGCCTCAGGGCCTCAGGGCTGTGCCCAAAGGGGGCGTGTCCCATGGCTTAGAATGGTTCCCCACAAAAGTCGCGACACCGACAGAAGCCATTTTGAACAAAAGGGCGAATCTGCAAGTTGCATGTACGAAGCTTCTTTGAAGCAGCTGGAGTTTGGGAAGCTCTGCGCCAGCCAGAGGGTTTTGCAATCAATCCGCTTTGGTTGCAGACTTTTAGGCCGGAGCTTTATGGATAGGGGTGCGGATACCAGTCTGTCCAATGACTTGGAGGCCTATTTGCCTCGTATGTCCATTACGTTCTTGAGGTCAAGAGTATGACAAGTTCGTTTTTGGACCTCGGTGCCGCGATTTCCTCAAACGGTCTTGGCTTACCGTATCCCCGAACTTGAAAATGTTTATGTGTTTGTCTCAAAATTCGGGAGTTTCCATGGCGACCAAGTCACCTCCAACCACCCGCTGGCCAGTTCTTTCCAGCGGTTCCCATTGCCTCACCACAAAGTACCTGATCAAGTGAGGCTTAGCTAATAAGAATGCCCGACAGTCTATAACCAAGAATTTTTGACCATTGACTGCCAAGGAGGAAATCATCCAAGAAGCATTCTATCTCTCATCCCTTCCCACATTCATCTATCCCTTACACCGCTGTCTCTCGGTTTCACCCATCACCAGCTAACCACATCCTTCCACACCGTTCCGGCCAGGTGGTTGAGACCGAATGCACTTTGGAACTATTTTCACCCAAAAGGTTTGGTCAGTGTTTCCCGGGCATTTGGGGGGCGGACCATGAATTCTATTTATGGCAATGGGTTTCTGCAGCGAACTGGCTGGAAGCGTCCACTGACGGTGGTACACTTTTCAAGGCGCGCACACGTGCCAGCTGGTCGCAAGCCATTCGCGGCTCTGAAGGCACTCAAGGGGCCCCTGACGATTGGGCCCAAATGTAAAGGTCAGGCATCAATTGAATGGTGGGCAAGTTGCAGCCATGGCTGCACAAACCCAGGCTCAGAAGGAGAGGTGTTGCGAAGCCGCTGATTTGCAGAAAGGCCAACCTTGGCGTTCTTCTTCGCACTCCTGAAGAGGGGGTCGTAGGTGATGGCCGCAAAGGAACTGGAGCAGCCCCGCGTGGCACACAAGTTTCTTCGTGAGAGCATCTCCCAAGCCATCGGAGGCAGTCCACCAAAGCTCTGCCCACAGTTCGAGGCTTTCCCGATGGAAGGCTTGCGAAGCGGCCCTCATGTTGAGTCCTAAGGTCGGGGACTCGTGCGTCAAGGAGCCTCTGAGTCAGGCATCATCTCAATGGTGGGCAAGTTGCAGCTTCTTCTTGCGGGAATCTCACTCTGATTGCAAAGGCCAGGCCATCAACGTGGTGTGTTGTCTCTGATCTGGCTATATTTCTCGCAAAGTGAATTTGTTATCAAAACTTACCCCCTGAAATAATTGGTTTCCTTGTGGCCTCCCTTGAAGTTCGACCACACATCGGTTCCTAAAACGCGCGCACTGAGCAATTCCCAAGTGCAATTTCCGGGCGCTTGCGTCTTGTCAAAAACCCAAGGCGCAAGTTGGCAAACTTGGACCACCTGGGCGAGCAGACGAAGTGCGCACCGGTCGAGTCGACTCGCAGATGCTGAACCTGTGCCTCATGCGAACAAGCAGAGCTCTATGTTCAGCAAATCGTGAGCTATGTGGGAGCCATTGCGATACAAATGTATGCATAATATGCACACACACATACACACAATACAATACAAGAGGTACACGGAGCATTTGGCCTCAAACGTACGATGCTGTGAAAACTCCAAGAGTGTTCGTTTCCGTTTGTCTCTTCTTCTCACAAACAAGATTCAATGTCAGGCCGCCCGGGACAGGCCCACTTCTCAGTTGTTCCTTCCCCATGTAATTTGTTGGACAGGGTTCATGTTCACAGTGTAGCACAGTGTATGGGTGATTGCTGCATTAGTGCAGCCAGAGACGCTCGCCGAAAGCCCATGCACAACCCTGCAGAAGAGCGGGGCGCAAGCATTGGACTAGAGTCTGGATTAGCTCAGTTCAGAGATCGTGCAATTCTTGAGTGTAAGTCTCGCCTGCAAGCACGGTAGAAGAAACTTGAGTGTTCAGAAGAAATTGCTGGACAAACGGCATCCTTTGAGATAGTGTTAGTGAGCAGGGTGTTTGCACAAAACAAAGTCCAAGCTGCATACAACCCGAATTCCAGTTCCAGCCTCTCAACTGCCCACGTCGCAGGTGTTTGATTTGCCTGGAGGAGTTTGCTGACGGCGATGAGCTGAAAACGCCCCTGGGCCAACCTAAGTCTGGTTTTCCAAAAGATTGATCTCCATCCAACTTTGTGTCACATGCTCCATGGTTTTGATTGGGTAAACAAAAGGTCATGTTTAGCCAGGGGAGGCCCTGAAGAATCCAAGTTAAAAGTGTAGCACCCGTTCTTTCAAGCGTTTAAACAGGGCCAGACAAATTTAGGCAGTACCATTCTTGCTCTGAATTCAACCATCATCTTTTCTGGGCTGCACAAGCAATGCATTTCTTGAGATGGTTGTTTCCGTCGAATGGGCGATGCTCAAATGGGAACTCGTTGCGGAACCAGTACGAGCATTCTTTTTAGTTTGCTCTTTTGTTGATTTCGCAACATGGTAAGCCGAATGCATCCAGCGGTCATGAGGCTTCCCTGCTTGCACTTCTACCATCAGAAGTCAGGAGCTGAGAGCTGCAGAAACGCGAAAACAGCGTCAAACTCAGTAAAAAGTCGTTTGATTTCTGTTACGCATTGCGGTTTCGAGAGCATCAAACGAGAGTTCACAAGTCAAGACCTCACTGCTCTATGCCCTCTTTGCCAGCGAGGTGTGTAGAGCAGTGGCTTGACACGGACAACTCCTGCCCGGTTTGTTTGGCGCCTAGTACCGCAATTCAAGTTGCCAGCAAGTGTGGCGGCCACAGCTGACGGATTCGCACGGCATTTCTTGAAAGAAGCGATGAGCGCCAAATGATTTTTTCGCGCTCAAAGGGAAACAATTGATTCACACCATGGGTGCTACAGCGCATGTTGTGCGTCTGAATTCTGAACGGGCATCCTTTGCAGCTTACCTCATTGGCAAACTGTGTGGTTCCCCTTATATAAAATATCATAGTTGCTGGTAGGCCATTTTTGGGCAAAATCAAAAAAGGTTCTATTGTGCCGCACCTGAAAGGCATTGATGTTTTGGAGGGGAAGTGACACTGAGAAGCTCGGAACTGAGGCAAGACACCAATCGGGCAAGAGGCTCGAACTGGGGAAGTTCCCGAAAGTTAAATTCGATCAACGAGAATCCAAAATGTCAAACAAATCAAGAAATATTCATATCAAGAAATTGAAATAGTAGATGTATTATCGTAAGAGAAAATTCAAAGAAAATTTGGAAACCCTCCTTTGGGTTTCATGATTGGAGGGAGGGCCCCTCTCTTTCAAAAACGTGAAAGGGGAACTTCCCTGCTTGCTTCCCCTTTCGTTCATTCCCAACGTTTGTTGAAACAAACTCGACCCCGGCCCTGGCCCCTCACACAAAAACAAAAAAGAGGTGGTTTTAGCAAATGTTCTATAGCGAAACTTCCCCTGTCTTTCCAGGAATCTTTCTTAACAAACAAAACATGACACAGACACCGGCATAACAAAGATGAAAGAAATTCATTGGTCATTAATCTCTACAATTTACTCTAATTTGGAGCCCGGCAATTTGTGCTAAGGACTGTAGTATTCTAAAAGCGGACACTCTAGAAAAAATCGGTTCCTCTCCTTGGGGCTGATGCATTGAGACCAAAAAAGCCCCCGACCCCAAACAATCACAAGTGGTTCTTTGTTTAGGCTTGCTGGTCACACGTATCCTTTGAAGGAGTTTGCATGGTGCGGTAGTTAATTGATATTTGTTTTTTTTAATAGCCGAGATTATTGGTATAGATATATAGTTTTTGTGTATTTTGTTTTTTTTGTCTGATATTAGGGTAAAATTATTAAGATATTGAACATATATATATATATATATGGTAATGTTTATATATATTTATATTTATATTTTTTGGTTGAATTATATTGATATTATGAATATTGGGATATTAAATATGTTTTTGTAATTTGGTTTTGAATATGATGTAGTTTATGAATTTGATGATATAATAATTGAAAATAAATATTAAATTTGAAATATAATTAATTAAAATTTATTTAGGAATATATTATAAAATATTATAAATATTGAATAAATATACAAACAAGGATAATGCTTAGAGCCGAATTATGAATTAGATTAATAATGGTTATGGGTTTTTTTTTTTAATATATTTGGGTATGGCTTTGGTTTTTTGTTTTTTGTTGGCTTGGTTATTTTATTGGGTTGTTGGTTGTTGTTGGTTTGGTAGTTGTGTTTTTTTTTTTTGTTTAAGGTTTAGGGCTTGGCTTTTTGGGTTGATGGGCGATTAGGCTGCTTTGGTTGGGTTGTTTGCTTTTGCTGGGCATGGACATGTATGGGTTTCTTTTGTTCGATTGTTGGGCTGATAGGTTGGGCTTTGTGGGATGGTAGGGCGTATTGTTTGTGTGTTTAGGGTTTGATTTTTGAATTGATGGGGGTTGGTTAGCACTTTGGGTTGTGTTGGGTTGTTGGGTTGGCTTTGGTTATTGGATTGTTAATCTTAGGTTGTAGGTTGCTGGGCTGTTTGTTTATGGCTTCGACATTGGGAGTGCGGCATAGGGCAGCTTCGCCTAATCGCAAAGCGCGCCCGCACGAAAAACAATTCGTAATCTGAGCTCGCTGCCAAAAACTTGCGTAAGAGCTGCCGGGATATGACAACCTGATAAGCATACCTGCTGCCAAGGCTCGACAAAAGCGGGCCTCGTTCTCAATCTGAGCCGATGTTGTTTGTTTGCGATTGCTTCTTCTTGCGCAGGGCATTGGGCAGCGGCACGCGCGGAAACCTTGCGCTTGCAGGCGAGCAACTGCCACTCGTGAGTTGTTCTGATAAATGTTTATTGAGCATGGAAGAGCCACAAAGATTCTGACCTCGAAGCGCGCGACTTTCTTCTCCTGAGAAAGGCAAGACATTCCCGAAACTAGAAACAACTTCAAAAACATTATCGAAATACATTCCCGCCACGATCCTTGACGAACACCACAACACATTAAGACAGCCTCCCAAACACACCTGAATACACAGACAGTCTGCCAAACACATCACCCAACGAATCCAAAGAATTCTGCAACACATCGAAATAGAAACAACCCCAAAGACATTGCATCCCCAAAGCACATCGCGTAAGAAAGCCACAAAACAGGTAAAACACCCTCATGCGCCGGTGCGCTCTTTTGTCCCTTTTGGTTGCAGTGCCGCGTGCTTGTTTTTGTGCTTTTTTGCTTGCGGGAGCATCGTGAAACACTGCGGTTGACGGAATTTGCAAAATTTCGGTTTTCTGCGATTTCAATTCGATTTTGACCGATCGGTTCCTTTTTGGAAAAATATTGGGCAAAGGATTTGAAAGCTTTTTTTTTTTCCTTAAAGCGTCGCCTTGAATCCTCGCCTGCTATTGGGCAAAGGATTAGCAAGCTTGTGCTTGTTCGTTTTGGTTTAGGGTCGGCGCCTTTTTGGAAGAATATTGGGCGAAGGATTGGAAGGCTTGTTATTTTCGCAGAGCGCTGTCTTCTCACGAGTTATTGGGGGAAGAAAGCGCTACGCTGGGCGAGATCAAAAAGCTTGCGTTTTCTTTGCGCAGCGTCGCTTTTCGCGCGGCGCGCGGCCCGCGACGATGTTCTGGCACCAAAACGTCAAAATTTGAGCAACTTGCCAAGCCCCACACCGACTCGGACCGGACGGCGCCGTGATTGAAATTCTTGATTGGGCGAAGGGTTGGAAGGCTCGTGTCTTTCTCGCAGAGTGGTATCTTCGATCCTCACGAGGTATTAGGCGAAGAAATCGGACTTTTGTGTTTTTTACTCGGCTTGGCTGGGCGAGATCCAAAAGCTTGCGTTTCGTGAGCGCGCCGCGTTTTCTTTGCGCCGCGTCGCTTTTTGCGCGGCGCGCGGCCCGGCGCCAAAGCGTAAAAAATTGAGTTTCGCAATTCGATTCGGGCTTCCCGAAACAATTTTCCGGGCGACGGCCGAAGCTTCCGCGACAGCCATGGCAAACCCGCGCCGTCGTTCGCGCGCGCTCCGTTATTTTGGCGCTGGGGGCTGGCCCTCCGGGCTTCCCGAAACAATTTTCCGGGCGACGGCCAAAGCCTCCCTCGCGCTCGCTTCCGTCGTTTTAGCGCTGGGGAGTGGCCGGACGGGCTTCCCGAAACAAGTTTCCGAGCGACGCAAAGCGGAAGAGCCGTTTTATCAATCAGAAGCGGATAGATGGCCAGATCTTTAGATTCGGGCTGCGGATGGCCGATTTTATATTGTCCCATATAAGGAGTTTATTAGCGGCTAAGCCGAGCCATTTTTATCAAGGGTTGGCAGAATAGCAACTTGAGCAAGGCCGGCCAGCCGGAGTGGCCGTTTTATCAAAGCCGATGGTATTTTTTCAAGGCCGACCAGCCTATGGCCGTTTTATTAACAATGGCAAAGCTTGTGTTACCTCCGAGTTGACAAGTTGTGGAAGGGGCTTCGGACAGGCCAAAATGGAACGGTTTTCAAGGGGCCGCCTTCTGACTGCAAACCCCCTGAGGAGCGACCCTTATCACCGACCATGCTTTTGAAGGGCCAGCAAAGCCTGTGTTGCCTGCGAGTTGACGCGTTAGGGCTTCGGAAAGGCCAAAATGGAACGGTTTTCAAGGGGCCGTTTTCTGACTGCAAACCCCCTTAGGAGTGACCCTTATCACCAACCATTCTTTTGAGGGGCCAGCAAAGCCTGCGTTACCTCCAAGTTGGCAAGCTGACAAAGGGCCCCGGGAAGGCAAAAATGGAGCAATTTTCAAGGGGTCGTTTTCTGACCTTAGGAGTGGCCCTTATCACCGACCATTCTTTTGAGGGGCCAGCAAAGCCTGCGTTACCTCCAAGTTGGCAAGCTGAGAAAGGGCCCCGGGAAGGCACAAATGGAGCAATTCTCAAGGGGCCGTTTTCTGACTGCGAACCCCCTTAGGAGTGACCCTTATCACCGACCATTCTTTCGAGGGGCCAGCAAAGCCTGTGTTACCTCCAAGTTGGCGAGTTGAGAAAGAGGTTCGGGGAAGCCGAAAATGGAACGGTTTTCAAGGGGCCGCCGCTCCCCCGCCCAGATCTTGTAGGTTCCTGAGGGGTCTGAGGAACCTGACGGGCGTCATGAGGAACCTGAGGGGCATGGCCTTGAAGGAACCCAAGGCGCTTGAAGGGGACTGAAAGATCCCGGGGGGTTCCGAGCGGTCTGGGCGGCCGCGCCTCGCCGCGCAGCCCCTTTCCGGCGCGCGGTTAGGGGGGGAGGCGGGCTAGGAGGTGCGAGGTTAGCCGGCCGCGGCGGTTTCGGGCGCGAGCTTTTCTACGCGCGGAGGCTATATGCGCCGCTTACACAAAGGGCGTGTTCCGCCAGGCCCCTTGTGCGGGCGCCGCATCGCCTCCGCCGAAAAGCCCATGCCTGAAACTCGCGGGGGGAGGCGGGCTAGAAGGTCTTAGGTTAGCCGGCCGCGGCGCGTTGCCTTATCACCGACCATTCTTTTGAGGGGCCAGCAAAGTTTGGGAAGTGTTTTTTTGCCGAAAATCTTGGGGAGGGAGGGGGGCCTTGATGTTTGGACAATCCGGTGGCTCAGAGAGTTGTTTTTGCTATGTCAGCTGGTAGTGAAACTTGGCGCACGTGCTGCCATGGACATTTACGGGGTTGACGCTGACGAGCTCGCGCATTGCGTGGCGCTGCATGTCATTGAAATGAAGATTGACGAGATTATTGTCAGGAAATGCAGCCGGGTCCTGCGGTTGATCATGGAAAGAACTGGGCGAAGAGCCGCGATGTTTCCTTTCGCAGTCGTTCTTGCTGGTATGGAGCGCGCGCTGATTTCGCCATTGCCTTCTGATGATATGGCCAGGGAGCCTCTTGTGCGGGATTTGTGCTCTCCAGGCTCTCCAGGACCAACGCAACTTCCACGCGTCACTGCTGAAGAGCGGGCCTTTGTGGAAGAGTCGACCCAGGTTCTGCACTTCTTGAACGAACTGGCCGACATTAACGAACCTTTTACACCATTAAAGATGCTGTTGGACAATGCTTATTTGACTTTGCGTAAGCTTGTCTGTTTACCCTTGAACTCTGACTGAACTTGCATCTAGAAAAGGCTGCGGAAACACAGCCTTTCCCCTGAGAGCCCGGCTCAGCTTAGGTTTTTGCTTTGCCTGAGAAGTTTGGCAACTCCTGA